AGACACAGCGAGAGAGGGAACACAAGCAGGGGGAGTGGGAGAGGGAGAAGCAGGTTTCCCATGGAGCAGGGAGTCCGATGCAGGGCTCGATCTCAGGATCCTGGGATCATGACCTGAGCCAAAGGCAGACACTTAACCATTGAGCCACCCAGGCACCCCCCAGTATTAGTTTTATTAAAAAAAATAAATAAATAAACCACTTAGTTCCACACAACCCGGATAGTGGTTCTTCTCTCACGTCAGATCTGAATATAACGGTCAGAACAATCATTTCATTTGAGCAGACCTTCATCAACACATGGTTTGGTGGAGGAAAGGCAAATGAAAACAGAAAGCACAGTTCTATGAAGGGGCAGGCTTCCTGTTGATCTTGGTTCCTTCTTTTAGCCATTTGCAGCTTGGAACAGTATGTCAGAAATGGAGCCCAGTGGTGAAAGCACAAGACCAAATCCCTGCCGAGTGGAGCTTGCAGTCTAATGGTGGGTACAGAGAGTAAACAGATATCTTGAAAGGTGGTATGGAAACATGGGGGCTGGGAGCAAGTGTATGAGGAGCACCTAACTCAGATCTGAGGAGTGATGACATCTGAGCAGAGGGTGATAGATGAGCATGAGGGAGCCAAATTGGGGTTTGGTGGGGGGAGAGCAGGGGCAATTATTGCAGGCTGAGGGAAGAGCTGATGGAGGGACTGAGGGGAGGGGGAACACCTAGCTGGTGGCAGAGTGCAGAATTCAAGGAGAAATCTGGCAGGAGAGGGGGCAGAGGAAAGGGTGGGAGCGGAAGGGGGAGGGAGTACAACAATGGAAACTTCTTGCACTCTTACCCCCAAATCCACAAGACAGGAAATGACCTCCACTGTCCCTCTCTCTCTCCCAGGGGAAACACTACTTCCCTTAAAACCCAGGCTTTCTGGGGACTGAAGGAAAATAACAACTTCTAAGCACTTAACATATACCAGGCAGTTTTTTTTTTTTTTTACTTGATATTGATTTAAATTTACAACAATCCTGTGGAGTAGACTATATTGTTCTACCTACTTTACAGATGAGGATGTCGAGGCAAGGGGAGGGAAGTGGTTTTCCCAAGGTAACCCAGCTGATGAGAGGCAGGGCCAGGGCTGGATCCCAGGTAGTGTGGCTCCAGAGATTTTCCCCTCCACAATGAATTCTTGTGGCAATGAGGTGTCCCATGAGCTGACTCGGGAATGCCTTGTAGAGCTTCTAACACCATGTCACGGCAAGTGATAGAAAACTTTTCTGACATTAACACGGAGATTTATACTTTTATCTTTTTTAGTCTTTATTCAGGACGATGTTTTAATAAAACATGCTTACAAAAACAAGGATGTCTTTAAGTTCAGATTATAACTACGATTTCAAATTGTGGTGGTTTATCATGGGAAAACTTCCAGAGGCCTTTTATCTTTGCGTTTGCTTTTTCTTTAACATAGGTAAGAAAACTAGGCAGGCCCTTGTCTCTTAAAGTAGGTAACACTTCCTTGTTCTCAGGAGGAGATAATGATGCTTTCTCAGCACTGTGACACTATTTTTTTTTTTTTATTCTTATAACACTGTGACACTATTGAAAGTCAAAGACTAGGTTTTTTTTTTTTTTTTT